CGCACAATTCCTTGGGCTTTATGTTACCTCTCAGAAGCCACAGACTTGTGAGTAAAGGGACCAGGAAAGATGATGCTAAGGTAACATGCATAATTTGGGTTTGTTGGCATAGGGAAGGACTCCTTAACTTTTCAACTCGTAACCATTTGTATTCATAATTTTTTACATGAGTCCACATATCAAGGTTTATAAAATAGCTGCACAAAATAAACACTTAATGATAATTCATAAATTTATTTAACAGTTTTTGGCACACCTATAATTTTAGCATTTAGTAAAGATGAAAGAAAAATTTCTATACTGAGATAGATATATTTGTTGCTGCTTAAAGTATTACATATTGGCTAAATATCTAATTAAACATTTTTAATATTTCTCAGAGTTGATGGATGCTTTTATTTTATAATTGGCCTCTTTGCATAAACACATAGCACAAAATGCTGTTTAGGGCTGTTACAAAAATCATTCGAAATTCTGCTTCAGCCAAAATGAATTCAATGACTTTTTTTAAGACTCAAGTCATCGGCTCAAACAGCATTTGTTAAAGGCAAACATTATACAGTATGATACAATGTAATGTAATTGTATACTAATTTGATACATGCTGAGGAATGCTGGGAGGAAAATACTTAAAGTCTTTGTTTTCCATCATTAAACCACTATATTTCTGTCAAGAAGAAAATTTTGTATGGTAAAGCACTGTCACTCATAACGTGCAATGTGCTTGAATCTGGACTGATGTGTGTGGCGCTTTGAATGCTTGGCCTCCACAGGCTAATATATTTGAATGCTTGGCCTCTAGCTGGTGGAGCTGTTTGGCTAGCTTTGAGGTTTCAAAAGACTTGTGCTCTCTCTTTATCTCTGCCTCACGGTTGTGGATCAAGATGTGAGCTCTGTGCTGTTCCTCCACTAAGTTTGGTGGACTGTCACCCTCTAACTCCAACTGTGAGTCAACTCAGTGGTTTCTTTTATAAGTTGTCTTGGTCAGGGTGTTTGAGCGCAGCAATAGAAAAGTAGCTGATGCTGTGTGTCAGGCAGTATTGGTCAGCATTGCATTCTGGGATGACAAAGTGCACATGTATGTCAGAACCAGGCTGCCACGAAGCTACATGGCAAAGTGCAGGCACAGGCTGCCAGATGCACATTGGATTCATTGTTCATGTGATTTTGAATGAAGTTTTGGCTGTTACATGGTCAGAAACCTTTTCTGTTCTAATTATCTTATACTTTCCATATTTATTTACGCAGCCTCACCTGGGCTGCAGCCCACAGCTTGAGAGGTTATGGTCTAGAGGACATTTTCAGAGAAGGAAGAAACAAGTTACTCTTAAATTCTGGCTTATGAAACGGTTTGTGACATTTATGCAAGAACTGAGAGGCTGTATCAACTATTCTTCAGGTTCCCCGGCCCTTGTACCTTTTACTTCTCTATTGTTTACTTTCATTTTGCAATCTGTTGTCATATGCTTAGTAACTCTGTCTTAGTTAGGGTTGCTACCACTGTGATAAAACACCATGACCAAAACAACTCAGGAAGGAAAGAGCGTATTTTGATGAGACATCCATATCGTTGTTCATCATTGAAGGATGTGAGGAAATGAAGTCAAACAGGTCAGGAACCTGGAGGCAGGAGCTGATGCAGCTTGATCTTACAGAGGCATTTTCTCCAGAGAGGCACCCTCCTCTCTGAAGACTCTAGCTATATCAGTTGATATAAAACTAGCCAGAACAAACCCCAAGGCTGGATATGCTCAAACAGCACTTGCTTGCATTTTTGTTAAGGTTTATAAAGCCTCAAGATGAATTTTCACATTGCTACTTTTGCATTGTTCACCAATGATTTTTGTTTCAGAATAGTGTCTGCCCTGGTGAGGACAGGAGTGTCACAAGAAGACCAACAGAGTCAACTAACCAGGGTCCAAAGAAGCTTGAGAAGACTGAAGTACCAACCAAGGACCATGCATGGACAGAACCTAGGCCCCTACACATATGTATCCAATGTACAGCTTGGTCTTCGTGTCGGTTCCCTACTTAGGGGAGCAAGGGCCTGTCTCTGACAAGAACTTTGTTGCATGCTTTTTGATCATTTCTCCCTGGCAGACCTGCCTCACTAGGCCACAGGGGAAGAGGATTCACTTAGTCCTGATTTGAGTTAAAGTGCTGGGGTGGGTGGAGGGGGATCTCCCTTTACTAAGGGTAGGGGAACGAGAATTGGAGGCAGAGGGAGGAAAGAAGGGAGGAACTATGATTGGGATGTAAAATAAATAAATGAAAGAAAGAAAGAAAGAAAGAAAGAAAGAAAGAAAGAAAGAAAGAAAGAAAGAAAGAAAGAATAGTGCCTTCCAATTCTGATCTATGCAGATGTCTAACTCTATATGAGCAGAAGACTATCACACAGAAAGCATTAAAGCCTTAATGTAGCATTAGGGAATGTAACATTTTGGAATGAAGCCATTGTAAATAGACTTTTCTTGAAAAAAACAAAACATTTTTGTTGTTGTTTAAGATGTATGAGAACTTCATGCTCTATTTCTTCTTCTAAAATGAACTTATTATTGACAATATTTAGGTTATTGAACCTTGACTAGATTCCCTGATGACTTCTGTGGGCCTTTGTGGGCAGGACAGATGTTTACCCATAGCAGGTCCCGGCAGTTGGCTACTAGGACACTTAAAGTGCATGATGTAAAAGAACAGCTGCCCCTGTTAATGAAATGGGTAAAGTGTTGAGAAGAAGGACAAATGAGTAGAATTACCAAGATGTGAACTCCTTCTATATTACCAACCAATCTCAATATTCCCTTTTGTAGACATAACATGACACCAAGCGTCACCATGGCAGGGATCATTTCAGTAAGTGCTTACGTGAATAATCTCAGTTTAGTGGCCCCATATAATCTCCTTGATCTAAACATTGATCTTTTTAGATAGCTATGCTTCAGTTCTGTTTTCAATTCAGGCTTAAAAGGATCTCTCTCTCTCTTTTTGTTTTATTTTTATTTTTGTTGTTGTTTTGTTTTTTGCCTCATTCCTTTTGGGTGTTTTTTAGTATGTGGGAGAGCAATGCCTTTGAATTGAAGAAGAAAAAATAGCAGGGCTTCTATATTATTATAGAAGTAAAAGAAAAGTGAATGGCCATCATAGGTAAACTAGAGCATGGTTGATATGAGGGAAAATAAGCTTTACAGTGTCCCTGGATGGTCCGTACCTAGTTGTCTCCACTTTGAATTTATAAATGACATTAGTACGATTCCATCTAATGTTACCCAAGGGTGTCCCTGGGCAGTTAGTTAGTACGGCCAACCACAAGGCTATAAAAGACAGATCTTCACCTGGGTAGTAGTGGTAACTTCCACAAGAGACTCAGCATTAGACCCTTGGTCTTTATTACAAGGGCATTAATAGAATAGCTTCTCAGAATCAAAATTCTCAGATCATGTGAGAAGACTTATATTAAGAAGCAAAACAAAACTACCTGTGGCCTGTCATCTGGTGACTTGCTTGGGAGCCTTTACTTTCTAGTTAAAGCCCCAAATAAAACTGATGAAATGTTCATCAGTTTCAGAAGAATAAATTCTAGGTCTACTCACCTCAAAAAGGATCTTGTCCAAATCTGAAATCAAACACCTTACCCACTTACTGTCTCTTCCTTAAGAGTCATGAGTAAGAGGTCACACTGCCTTCAAGAGCATACACAGAAAGTTGACTTTGGTTTTACTTTGCCTTTTGGACATGGCCTAAGAAAAATTAGAATATTTCCAGTGGGATGAGTGTATAGGTACACAGGGAGTTGGAGATTAGAAGAGGGATGTGCTGTGATGGTCCAAGTTTCTACTCTAAAGAAGCAGGAATATTAAAGAGGAATTCCTCATGCCTAAGATCTTACATGTGGTTGGAGGAAAAACAAATTTTAGCTGTCTGAGGAGTAGAAAATATGACCTGGAATCCAAGTGTGAGGTAAAAATCGGAGGTAAAAGATGGAGATCATGAATATTAAGAAGACTGCTGAGTTCTCTTTGCAGCAAATGGAGGCCATTATAGAGATTGACAACTGTTACAATGCAGAGAACTACTGATCATGGGGTAACCAGCCCTCGTGGACATACTGCAGCACCATCTCTTCAGTCTTGACATTAAGAAAGAAGGGAGCAGAAAGATTATAAGACTCTATCTATCTATCTATCTATCTATCTATCTATCTATCTATCTATCT